CTTCTCAAGCAGATCCCGGGTCATCATTCTCCCGTTGTACTTGGCCTTGGTGAGGCCGCAACTGGAGTACTGCGTCCAGTTTTGGGCTCCACAATTCAGAAAGGATGTGGAGAAGCTTGAGAGAGTGCAGAGGAGAGCCACACACATAATCAGAGGTCAGGAAAACAGACCTTATGATGAGAGGCTGAGAGCCATGGGACTCTTCAGCCTAGAAAAGTGCAGGCTCAGGGGTGATCTGGTGGCCACCTAGAAGTTTATTAGGGGTGCTCATCAGGATCTGGGGGAACATCTGTTCACCAGAGCACCCCAAGGGATGACAAGATCGAACAGTCACAAATTCCGCCGCAACCAATTCAGGCTGGACATAAGGAAGAACTGCTTTACTGTCCAAGCCCCCAAGGTTTGGAATAGGCTGCTGCCAGAGGCAGCTCAAGCACCCACTTTGAATGCCTTCAAGACACATTTGGATGCTTATCTTGCTGGGATCCTATGATCCCTGCTGACTTCCTGCCCCTGGGGCAGGGGGCTGGACTCGATGATCCTCCAAGGTCCCTTCCAGCCTGAATGTCTATGAAATCTGTGAAATCTGCCCCCACACCCCTTTCCCCCCCAAGACTTACCAGCCGGATGCTACTCTTTAAGCTGCCGGGCTGCACTCCTTCATGCGGCATTTATCAGCGATATTATCAGCCACATCAGCCAAAAAACCCGATTGCTGACCATGTCAATTTTCCTTTTATCGGTTCTGATACAATGTGGACCAATGTACTGGTACACCTCTAGACCAGAGAGAGGGCAGAGTGTCAACACAGCTAAAGAGCCCAGAGGTCTGATGCCTAGGAGGGGCAAGCATCAGACTGGCCAGGGAGCCCAAAGGTTTCAGTTAGTCTAGAAGCAGGGCCAGGGTCTGGGGAAACCAAAGATCAGGGACTACAGCTGGTGACGGAGGGGGCCAAGGAGCCTGTAGCCCACATGAGGCAAGCACTGGGACTGGAATTCCGTAGCCCAAGAAGGGCATATGTTAGTATGTCAGCTGCAAGGCATGGGAATGGGTACTGGAGAAGATGAAACCCACATAATTTGCCCTTAAGACAATGATCATGGACACCAGTGGTCATAGGAGTGAGACCAGGCTTGGGAAACCCTGGGGCAGCCTCCCTTTTCTGCAAGATAACAACATCAAGGACTAGGGGGCAAGCGAAGGAGAGACTGCAAGGGGAGTCAAAATTTGGCAAGGCTGAGAAGCCACCAAGGGGCATTGTGACCACCCCTAGGACTAGCACTTGTTACAGGCATACAAAGTGGTAAACATATAATGTAAGTGTACAGCCTAAGAAATACATTGATAGGTTTAAGCTCTACCCCTGAAAAAAAAAATAAAACACAAGACCTTCCTTTAAAAATTTCAAAGAACCAGTTAGACAAAATGTCCAGAGAGCTGGACAGAGAGGAAAATCTTCCAGATAAAATTATTCAGTAAGGAAGGGAGCCAGTTTCCACAGGCAGGGAAGACAGGACCTAACAAGAGACAAGACAAACAAGACAAGGAACTGAAACAATCAATTATAGGGCAATCAACTGAATAAAATAAAGTCAAGTATGAAACTCACTCAAGGTAATTTCCAAGCAACACAGTCATATTGTTTTGTGCGCCATGTCACGTAGTGATTGCAATTTGCATTTAAATACAGCAATGTTAGGTTAATAATGCAACAGCTTATCCAATGTCAATATTTATTGTTTCCAATAATTTGGATAGCTTATCATATCATATCACTAACTCCCAAGGAGAAAACAAGGAGAACCATGGCTCCATGAAACAACTAAGTATTTGGCTTAGTTCTTACCTTTGAGTTTCTAACAACAACTGGATGTTTCAACCCTGCAATACAGTTAGAAAAAATGGGTTATCAGAGCAAAAAAGAGGAAGAGAAAACTGATAGTAGAGGCATCTGAACAGGTCTGGAGGCCAACTGGAACGATATGAAGCTGTGGAAAAAGCATAATTCTGATGGGATTATATTTATGAATTCTAAAGTTCGCTGTTTCATTCATACATTATTTTACCATTTTCCACATTTTGCAGTCCATATGGTTGGCCAAATCTGCTCTCTTGGATACAAGTGAAGAGCACTAATGTTCAGCTGCCAGTTACCTGAGAAAACAACCTGCTTTATCTAAAGTCTAGTCTTATTTCACTATATTTTTGTTCTATGTCGACTTGACAATCACCATATTTCTGCTTAAAGTTGACATGCGTGGGAAAAAAAATTGGGCGTGCTAAATTTGATGAAGCATCTCAACTGTCATCACTTTGGCTTTGGGATAGATGCTAATAAAGAATTTAAAAAATGTGCAACAGAAATGCAGTTACAGCCTTTTTCTTTAGGGACTTTTAGTTTGCCTCAAGACCAAGTATCCCATAAAACAGATTGCAAGATGACAAGGAAGCAAGGGGAGAGGAATGTCTTACCTTCTGTACTTTCTGGAGGACTTTCTTTAGCCATTTCCATGTTGGTTACTTCAAAATCAGTCAACACTCTCCCACCTGCTTTCTGAAAATCTTCAGCATATGATAGGGCCACTTGTCTATAATTCACAATGCCTGTGTATGGGGAATCAAGGGCCATCAGACCCTGAAATGGTATTGGATGAGTTACAGAAAACCAAAGTGACAGTTGTGTGTCTAATTAGGATATGCTTCACTACATAGCTGTCAATGATAAAGTACACTGTATGATGCTGGCTTCAAACTGAACTACAGAAGCCTCGTCACACGCTGTGCAGTACAACATACATATAGCCACACTGAGTGCTTTGCGTGAAGCACTGTAGTTACCAGTGCTTCATGTCACTGAATGTTAACTATGTCACTTCTGTCATGTCTCACTACTCCCTGAACTACGTATCCGAGATTGCAGCCTGGACTTTTCTGAACCAGAAAATAACTTGCACCTGCTATGCGGGTTGCCATGTGGGACCCAGAAGGAATTTTCCCCCATCCTGTTCCTACTGTTGCTTGGGGCTTTTTTTTTCCCCAGAAGCACTGGGTGTTGGTTGCAGCCAAAGCTGAGGACTTTCACTGAGGTGTGCTGATACTCCTGCTGGGACTTAAACCCTGAGAGTCCAGGATAGAGGATCTTACTCCTCCACTCAAGGTCAGATTGATTACCACATTTAGGATCAAGACGGAATTCTACCCCATGGTAAGATAAACATGGACTGTGGGGGTTTGCCTTCTTCTGTAGTGAGGGGCATGGCCCTCCACCTTGGATCACTTGAGTGCATTCAACAAACTACTTCCTCTCCATGGAGTGGCAAAACTTTGACAGGGCCCTTGTTCTCCTGCTTTACCTGTAGCAAGTTAAAGGGTGTTTTAGATCAGTGGGGACCAACCTTTTTGGCAGGTGTGCCACAAATTAGTTTGGCACCCTCCCCAAGTGCCATTCCAGTTCCCCTGCCTGATCTGCAGCTCTGCTTTCTGCTTCCTACCCTATCTGCTGCTGTGTGCCTGTCCTGTCCTTGACTTGCTGTGTGCCTGAGGTCCCTTCTAGCTATACTTTTCTATGAAGACATATGCCAGGGGTCCAAATCTACCATTTTTAGCAGGAATTCTCATGCCACTCACTAGCATGTTACTGTCTGCATCTAAGAATCTCAGGTTTTTGTAGAACCAAATTTGTACAGCCATATCAATAAGGAACACATCTGCACTTAAGCTGTCTTGTAATATGGACCTCAGACATGGTCAGACACATCTAAACCCTGTACTCATAATGCACTTCATGATGCCCTGTCCTTTCAGTCCATACAACGTTTCGACGTACTTAATACAGTGCTTTGCACTCTTTACAACTAACTTGCTATATAAGGTCTCTTCTGCTTATGATGCTGGGGTTCAACTCTATGAGGATAAGTTAATCATTTATAGGTCTCATGACCCATTTGAACTCGGTCATTTCCAGAAATAACGAGTGACTTGTTTTTAAAATATGCAAAGATTATTTATTTGGCAATAGGCCCCAAATGTCAAAGAGGTCAAAAAGAATCCCTTTCAGTGAAGGTCTGTCTCTTTGTGGCTACAGTAATGTCTAAGCAACAGCCCTTGCACACCACTGAAATAGCAGCAAACATTCAGATGAAACAATGGAAGGAAACACTATTATTAGCAAGAAGAGACATGGAACTCAGGGATGGGAAAGGAGGTTCAGAGAGAAGCCCCTTCTTCCACTCCACTCAAGTCTATCTATCCTACTGCCCGTCATAATAGTATCTGAGCATCTCCCAGTTAACCAATAACCAATACCAATAACTAGTCTCCTCACAGATTCCATGAAGTCTCTGGCACTTTTCCTTTTTTGAGATAAAGATGCTACTTGGGGCTAAGGCTGATGCTAGGCAGATGTGAACATACCTGAGGAAGGCTCTGCAGTGTTTCCCAAAAACGTTGCTAAACGTTCCCTTTGTATCACATCTCTGTTTTTATTTAATGGGCACCCATATGTGGGACTGGCTGTGCGGTAAACACTTCTGACCATTCATTCAATTCTACTGCCAATTTTCATACTAGGAGCTTCCAAGAAATCTTCTGAAACTGTCACCCAGAAAAACTGTCTCATGGTCTGTCTCACAGGAAGTTCATGTCACCAAGAATATGAGAGAAAACAGACAAACAGTCTTCATTCCATTAAAAGGGAAGGAAAACAACTTACTCTGCAAAACGGCTCCTTTGCTTGCATCTCTTTGGCACTTATTAATCTCAGATCTCTGACATTATTCTGTAACCCTCTTTCATACAGCGCCTTGAGTCTTGGGATTTCTTCTTGTTCCACTGCTATAATTAGCTTCAGAAAGAATGTAAGAGTGCAAAGGTGAGTCCTACTGCAATTACTACATTTGCTGAGCATGGAAATACAATAGAAAAACAAATGTTTGGTGCACTAGTGAGTGTAAAGTTGCATTAAACCCTTGCCAATGCTAACTAATTAAGGGATATGTGAACAACAGGTGCTACAAAATAATGTAAGTGCTTTACTGTGGAAGATATTTGCAACCAAGGCTGTGGTGCAAGAGATCAGAGTGAGAAAGAAGGGGAATAGGAATTTATATCTTATCAGGATACTTTAAAAAATAAAGCTTGGTCTTACCCCAGCAACCAGCTAGCTTGAGATGTACAAGAATGGGAAGGGGAAAAGAAAGATATGCAGTGGGCTGCCATCTCACTTCAATGTCTTATTGTTTAGGACTGTGGGCAGACTTAATCTGAATTCCTTTAAAGAAAAAAAAACAGGGCACAAACACCCTTCCCCCCCACTTCCACAGATATATTTGGGTCAACTCATGGCTTCCACAAAAGCTTCTCCTTGGGAAATGACCATAACAATGTGCTTGGTACAGTTAAAAATGGACCTCACATTACCAAGCTTTTTAAAATAAAAAATGAAGCAGCTACTGTACCTTGCCACATTGCTTATAGGGAATTCCCTTTTGGTCACAGTACTCATAGCAGAGGGCAGCGCCCTGCACACATAATTTAGCTTTCAGAGATCCAGGGGTGTAGTAAATTCCACTGTGAATTACTCCACTGTTATGTCCACTCTGGTGACAGGCTACACAAAAACATAAGTTACGATATTAAAATACGTGTTCTATGCAGATTAGATTCTTGCAGTATCTTAAAACTTCCAGCTGTCAGGAAATTGATCCATTTAAGCTCTGTCCTCTTCTATTCCCCAGCAGTAGGAGATCTTACAAAGGATTTACACACTCCTCAAGGTTTCTCCCTTAGTTCAGGAGGGCTCCAACAATACTGACACCATGTCTACACCACAATAATCACAGTGCGCCATGCACCGAATGGATAGAAAAGCAATTAAAATATTTTCTCCAAGGAGATTTGCAGCAATTGCATGCAAATCAATTCAGACTGCATATACATTAACAGTGGTTCTAAAATGAAATCCATCCTACAGCTCCTCCCTGTACCACAAAACCAGCGGGATCCTGAATGCCTTTCACAAAGCTTGCAGTCCTGCTTATCTTGCAGTGGACAATCATACACTTGTAAGTCAAGCCTAACTGTTAACTTCGTCTTACTAGGAAGCAAAACAGAGGGAAGACAGACAGGTGTTAAGAGTGAATGTATTTATCAAATGTAACTTTATAGTAGTAGTAGTTTATTTAGAGCCTTCACTAAAACAATGAACAATAAATATATAAACAATAAAAAGTATATATAATAATACATTTGATTACTATAATCATAAAAACTGAGAACTACAGGGGACAAACCCCACAGCCACAGACAGCTTTTTTGCTCTTCTTCCCTACGTTTCTAGAGTCCCTGGATAGGCGTGCATCAATTTTTCCAGTGGGCAACTACTCACGCATTTCAGCAGCCAGGATACGTGGTTCCTGTTCCCTTCCCTGCCACTCCAAGAAATCCTCACTTTTTTGTTAACTTCTTAAAAATCAACAATATAATATTAATATTAAAATACCTTTATAATGATCAACTGTAAAATATAGCAGTTTTTGAAGGATCTGAGTTTTTAGTAAAAAAGTCTCTTACTGGTGGACCCTAGGGAACTAGAAACAGTCTAATGAAGACAAGCGGAGCTTACTTAGCAGTCACTGATATGGTACCACATACACCATACCTAGCTCTTTCTCCTTTTCCAGCACAGCAAAAGTGAGGGATGGATGTCGCAGAACAAGCTCTCTGGCAGACGCGAGCCCCACAAGTCCACCACCAACAACAGCCACATCGAACGTGCTATTTAAAAGCAAAAAGATTGTGTCAGAAGAGGTTACTACAACTAGTCTCTACACAGGTTCAATGGCCACGAGGCTCCACGTGACAGCCTCTATAACCCCCCTGGTAGAGTCCAGGTCCCCTTAATAGTCTCTACACAGGCTCAACAGCCACTAGGCTCCATGCAAGTCTCTAAACCCCCTCAATAACCTCTATGCCCCCTCCAGCCCCCCGTGATAGTCTCTACACCCCCCACTAGACTCCAGGTCCCCCTTAGTAGCTTCCAGACCCCCTCGATAGTCTCTATACCCCCCTCACTAGACTCCATCCCCTCAACAGTCTCTATAACCTCCTCAATAGCCTCCACGGCCCTGTGGATCGTTGTTACACCCCCCCAACAGCCTCTAGAACCCCTTCGGTAGAGTCCAGGCCCCCTTAATCTCTTCGCAGGTTCAACAGCCACCAGGCTCCATGTGACAGTCTCTAGACCCCCTCGATACTCTCTATGCCCCCTCCACAGCCTCCAG